TGTGTTTTCCTGAGTGGACGAAGGAAAGGTTTGCCAGTATTTTGTTGAGTGAGCTTGTCACTGTTTTAAGATGACATTTCCCATTTGACAATGTCTTGTGTCAACTGTTAACAGCAGTGGTCTGTGGCACTACCCGAAGCAGCAAGAGGAACGATCCAGGTGTTTTCTGCACTCCGGCTGCTTCCCCTGGGATTCCTGTGTTCTGAGGAGCAGCAGTCTCACTGGGGAGGTAGGTGTTTTCTGATGGCTGAAAAGCCACTAGGAATCTGCACAATCTTGTTTTGTGGGTACTGTTAGGGTTGTGGGCTTTTGTGGGCACTTAGTGAATCTCAGGAATCCTTTGGCAGGATGGGAACTTTATTGGCATTACTGAGGATTTGCTGGCCCTTGGGCTCCAATCTTGTGTTGTGCCATACCTATGTGCGCAGCTCAGGTGCAGTCAGTGAAGGCTCCAGACTGGTCACACTCAACCTTTAATATGAGCATTTGGCTGCTTCAAGCAATTGCTGTTTGAGGTTTTAATAACTAGTAATGTAGTCAGGTGTGGTGGACACACATTTAATCCCAGCATTTGGGAGGCAGAGGCAGGCAGCTCTCCATGAGTTCAGGGCAAGGCTGGTGGCCTACATAGTTCTAGGACAGCCAGGACTATGTAGACAACCTTGTTTCAAAAACCAAAACCCTGCTTAATATCTGCATGTAGTTGAGTAGTAAATATTTTGCTATTAACTTTTACATTTAAAATTTTTTTTCAAACTCATGATAAGCAGCTTGTTCCCAGGCATCTTTTTGTAACGTTTCCTAAAAGCTTAACCTAAATGACCAGTAGGATGAAAAACTATGCAAATTAAGGGAAGTGGCCATTTGTTTCCTTCCAAGGTAGGATTAGGGTTTTGCTTAGAGTTGGATGTCAGTTACTAAGATGTTCAGGACTAGTTTCCCAAGCTCTTTGGGGTAGTAGCTATAGGAACTTAGATTTGGTCAGTTGGCCAGGCACTACGCTAATAGGAAAAGGCATAGGTTTTGTTGTCACACACCTACAGCTAAATCCTTGCTTGATGACTGAATTTAGGCAAGGTGTTGATACACAGTGTGCCTCTGCTGCGTAGTCCTCTGGTGGGTAATGAAACTTGACAGCATCACAGGAGACTGTTACCAGTGCTGGGCACCTTGGAGGAGTACCTGTTGTAAGTAACTCTGAGGATGTCTGTGAGCCTGTTATTGGCTAGGGAAAGTTGAACTCTATTGCTAGGAAGAAGGACCAGGACTGGTTAGCAGCGCTGCTGGAGGTGGGACAGAGTCAAAGCTCAGCTTTGCGTTTGTTGTTCAGTGTTTATTAAGTAGATTCAGTCTGGTATATGATATACAGTTTCAAAAGGAAAAGGATTCCACATACTTATGACATCAGTGCATTTAGCAGTAATACCATGGAGATAACCGCTCATTAACAGCTCATTGGTCTTCTGGTAAGTGAGGGAAAGAGGGCGTCAGCCTGTGCTAGTCATTCCAAACAAAACAGAATTTAGTAGCCGCATCACGTAGAAAGACACATCCTAAGAATTAAAGTATTAAGCCACATTTACTGGGAACTCTACAGAACACAAACACTTTATAGAGCATTGAGGAGGAGGTCCTCACCTGCTTAGAAGAGCCACATTAAGTTGCATAGGTGCATATCTGTAAAAATATAATTTAGCGGTGAAACCATTGATTAATAAAGTCACCTTTAAAAGTTGGTGCCATCCACTGTTTGCGGTAAGTGCCTTATGCTTACTGTCTGGAGCCCCGACCCTCCCCAGAGGTGGTGGGAACCCTGAAGAAGTACTTGTACCATCTGCACAGTCACAGTCTCACCTGACATGGAACTTACGCTCTTCCAAAACGAGTCTTGTTATGCCAGCAGATTGATGACCTCTTGTATTGTCCCTAAGTCCTGCCTGGCTTGCTGCCGAAGGCCCATGAGTCCCCTTGACCTTCTTAGTATTGCCTGCTGCCCAAAGAACTTCCTCCCACAGCCGGGCAGTGAAGTCCTGTCTTACTGTCTCCTCTGTGTGTTATCCCCACCCAGTCGACAGGAGGCGCTATCTCGATTCCTAAGTGAACACATGATAGAGGCACAGGGCATCCACCAGGCAGAGTGTATTGGCAAATCTGAGTTCCAGGTGGTGTAGGTTTTGTTTTTAGGTGGAAACGGGTACAGAGTGAGAGGTTTTGCTTTGTGGCTTTGCTAAGCAGATGAGCTAGTGAGGTGCATCTTCCTCCTCGAGCGCGTCTTGCAGAACACACAGGGATGGGGCGTCTGTACATGTAAACAGTACACTTCCACTGAGTCCAAAATTAGGAGCAAAATACAAAGGTTCACATTGGTCTTAGGTAGATACAGGCAAGAGAGGATTGAGCTGTTGAGCTCAGAAACAACAAAACAAAGTTTCTAAAGCACCACTAAATTATATAAAAATCAGACTACGGACGGATTGAAACTGGTATTCTGGTGAAATATTTTACTATCTTGTAAAAAGTTTTACAAAAATTACAAATTAAAAGTATCAACCCTCTGAGTTCAAAGCAGCATTTTGAGAATGAACTGGTAGTTAATCCTATAACCACCCATGGAGTCCTATGTGGCCCTTGAGAATAGGGAGAGACAGATGGGTTCCATCTGTTCCAAGTCCTCTAAGACCCTCCTAGCCCTGCCTGCCCCTCCCCAACACCATCCTTGGGAATAGACTGTCCATTTGTTGAGTGGTGAGAGAAAACCCTTTTATGTGGGTCGTGTTCACTATCACATTAGACCACTTCTCTTGACAACCTGCGGGGGGGGGGGGGGGAATCTGCCCTGCAAGGACTTGGGGATTGGTGTATTCTACACTGGCATTTCCATTGTAACTTGAGATCACCAATGATGACTTTATGCCCTGAGCCTTCCATCAGCCTGAAGTGGCGTGGCTGAAGGACAGGGCTTTGGGGAGTGACTTTGGGAAAAGTCAGGAGGGGAAGGCTTGAAGCTGCATCTTTTAAAACAAAAGCAAACCAGAATAAGTTCCCTGACTGAACTAGGTAATGGAATCCTGTGTCCACACTTAACTTACCCCTGATGTGGTTGTCTCCAACTGGGGCTTTGGGGACAGCTTCCCTGGAAGTCCAGGTCAGCATGACAGCATCCACTGCCCTGCCGTCCCTCTGGAAGCCATCAGCATTGGTTCTGTTTCTCTTGAACACACAGGGAACCTATGCTCACACCATACTCTGGGAGCAGGCTGCATGGTGGCTGACCAAGACTGCTTGCACTTAGGAAACACCACTTAGATGTTGATCGTGCTCTTTCTTACAGATGTGTCCCATGGGGGTGGAGGGAGGTGTCCCTGCCTAGTCTCTTCTGTCTTCCAAAAATGCAAACCATTTGTGTCTAGCTTGGGGACTGCCTCTGGGAGCAGAAATGACAATGGTAAGCAATTGATACCAGAAATTCTAGGGAGGCGATTGTCTCTGCCAATTTTCACAAATTGCCGGGGGAACATTTTGCAAAAGATCTGATTACTTTGTAGTATTCACACACAAAAATAAATATTTACACAAATTCAGACATCCAGGAGTCCTACTAAGCAGGTGGGGAACTGGGCACATGGTCGGCCAGCTGTGGGGAGGCCCTGGGCACTGGCTTGTGCTGTACAAAGGGGGCTCAGGCATCCTGGCCCAGTCCAGAGGCCTGGTGAGCGGGCACATGAAGGCAGAGGTGGTGTGGCTGGGTAGGCATTGGAGGCCACATGAAAGACCATATTTAACCCCAGGGTGAAAGTGTGCAGGGTGGGGAGCCCTACCTTGCAGCCCTGAATCTCAACAGGTAGGGAATCTGCACGGGCACTGCCTGCCCACCTGTTTGAGGGCTGGTCTGTCAGGCTGCCCTGTCAGGCAGTTCCTGCCACAGGCCAGCTTGGGAAGCGGCACCTGCTCTGGGATCGAGAGTGGTCTGTGGTTATCCTAGTGTCCACTCGACCCTGGCTCCCCTGAGGCCTCCTTGCTCTGAGGGAGGAAAGGCAACAGGGCTTCTGCCAGCTCTGGGCAGGGGCAGGCAGCAGAATGCTGCTGTCATGGCTACGGAGTGTTGAGGGAGAGGCCCCCTGGCCTGCTGAGGTCTGGGTATATCCCTGGTTTTAGCAGCACTGGTAGGTATTGCACAGAGCAAGAGGAAGTGCCTATCAGGAAGGAAGGAAACCAGGTCAGCTTTTTCTTGTCCCTTGTCACACTCCAGGGACTGGCTTTCTTATAGGACAGACCTTTCCAGAAGAAAGTCTAATTCTCGGAGAACGCAAGTAGTTTCCCTACTTCCACCAACGATCTGATCCCTTTACTCCCATCATGAGGTGAGGGCTGGAAGCCTCGGTTCACCCTGGGGCACACAGATGCCTGACAGAGGGAGCTGGCCCTGCAGAAGTGACTCTTCTAGAGGGTTATCTGGGGCTGGGGCCTGTGTTCATCAGACCTGGGTCCCTGACCAGCTCCCAGCACTGCATCCTGTCGAGCATCTACAAGAGCCAGGCAATGGCAAGCTGCTGGTTTTAAGGGCCAAGCTCCTCGGGGCTCTGGCTCTTGGACACTAGGTCTGATTTACCTCCCAGCAGATAGATACATTGTGTAGGAGTCAGGGAGGCAGCCTTTCAGAACCCACTTGGAGCACATCCTGGAAAAGCCCGCGCTGGAGTGTGAGGTAGAATACAGGTGACCGTGTGACTGGAACTCTGGAGGATGGGGAGGGTACTTCTGTTTGCAGTGGGTGTGGGTGAGGTCCTCCTGTTTGGCAGTGCCTGGCAGTGTCCCTGTGGCAGCACTGGGATCTGCAACAAGACAGCCTAGTGGAGTGTGGTGGCCTTCCCAAGGGTGTGCTGGACACTCACACAGGGAGCTGGTGCCTAACTCTGCTGGCCCCCAGCCCACGTCAGTGTAGTGATATGGAATGTTAGGTACAGGGTACATCCTTCTGATCAGACAGACACAGACTGGCAATCTGTACAAACACAAAAGAATCCATTTCAGAAAAATAAATTACTAGGGAGAGGAAGAAAGGGTCCACGTTTGCTCTTCTCAATAAATATGCAATTCTGCTCACCTAAGACTTCAAAGGTAATTATCGGGATGGGATTCTAACATCAGGGTCCACGAAGGTGATTCTAATAGAGCTGCAGCCCCTGTGCCTTGTCAGGGGAGCCCCATCTCTTTTAGAGCTGCCCCATTGGCCTCTTTCCAAGCAGGTCAGAGCACCTGTGTGGTGAAATTAAAAAACAAACAAACAAAAAAAAAGTGTCCTTGTGCCCAAAGTCTCAGATGCTCGGAGTGTGGCTAGAAACAGCTCTTTTGGATCCCACCTCTTTCAGAAAACAATGTACCAACTGGTGAGGCAGGAAGCTGGGTCCAGGCTGGGACAGCCTCCTTCCCTGGTGTCGTGCACTCTGGGGGCCAGTGGGGTCAGTTCTGCTGTAAAATGAGGTTTTCCAGTTCATCCGCAGAACGCAGCAGGAAGGCTGCAGACTCTCGATAGCCAGCAATGAGCTGCCGCACAGCGCTGATCTCTGTGGGGCTGAGCTGGGCCGTGGGCATGGTCCTGCTGGTGCTGTTATTGGAAGGAGTGGGTGTGGGAGGGGTCGGGGTAGAAGCCCCACCTTTCATGCTGAGGTCTGTGGGCCCTGTGGAGAGGGAAAGATGATTTTAGACTCTTATTTTTTTTTTTTTTTAAGAGGAAGTGGGAAGCCCCTGCGTGTGTATGGGAAGGATGCCCAGCCTTGGGTACTATGATTGGGCATAGTAATTGGAGGCACTGATCTATTTCCCTGATGGCTGTATTCATAGTATCTAGAATAAGGCTTTTACATGACAAGGGTCCTATGGTTGAACCTCACTGTCAACCATATGACAGGCAAAAGGGAGGTGGGGAGTTCTGCCCAAGGTTACATAGCAAATGTCTTCCGGATGGGATGACATGCATCAAGAGCACAGGCTTGCATGAGGCACAGCAGGCTCCAACCTAGCTTCAGCCTCTACCCATGCCTTTCACTACTTCCTGGGGGCTCCCCCCTGGACCCACATCCCTGCTCTGGTCCCCAGAAAAGGAAGAAGCAGCCTTGAGGCAAAGAAGCATTTGTGCCTTGAGCTCCTGAGCCCTGCCTCTCCTCAGGTGGTGGTCAAGATTGGAACGGGTGTAATAGTTCCAGGAAGGAACTATACTCCAGGCACTGTGAGTAAGAGCTGTTGCTAAGTTTAGGGGAGTAAGGTGCATGTGCCATTTCTCCCAAAGAAAGCAGGGAGGGGAGGTATGTAATCAACTCAGTACCATATGCAGTGAGGCCACAGAGCTGCCACCATCCCAGTTCAGAGAGGCAGTGAGCACCCCACCCCTAGGATAGAGGAGGGGTAAGGCCTGCTGAATCTCAGCACCTCAACCCCTCTTCTTCTCTCCCAAGTGAGGAAGCTGATGCTCCTGTGGTAAAAGCAGTAGTAACCACAGCACCCAAGGTTTTCTGGAGAAATTGTTGTCTGTCTGCTGTCTGCCCTCTACTGGCCAACTGTGGCAGCAAAGGAGCCCAAGCTCTTAAAATCCCTGGAGATGAGGAGACCACAAGCCACCCAACCCTTTTGCCTCTCTCTCTCCTTAGCAGCTCTATGGGGTGGGCTGCCAGCACTGGAATTCAGCAGCTGCATGCTCAAGCCTTTCTCTGCCACCTCACTCCTCCAAGCTTCAAATTCCAATGCAAAGCAAGGAGCCTATGGGGAGCAGCAGACAAAGACCAGCAGACAGGCTTGCCAGCCTGTGGGAGGACTATCTGCAATGCCCTCCAGAGACTTCTCAGCAGGCCAGGGACTTGGAATAGACTCCCAATAGACGTGGAAGGGTTTGGAGCTTGAAAGGCCTTGTAGGTGTTTGTCAAGAAAATTATCAATGAAGAGGTCTGTCGAGTAAGAGACCATGCATTTGGTGAGTCTTTTGCCAGCCTAGGGAGCTCATTTTCCAAGCTGTTGCCCTGAGTCCCCTTCCCTCATCCTTCATCTTGGAGGCTACCTTATTTGATGCTCCTCTGGATCACCGGCATGTCTTTACTTCCCTCTGGGTTTTGATGGCCAGGCATGTTCATTGCTACATTTACACTGTGGGGATGGACAAACCTTGTCTTGGAGACATAGAGATTAGAAGGAACTAGGGATAAATTTTGGAAACAACTACTGCTAAAAGGAAGCTGGTGCAGCCCCTGATTGGGGAAAAATGTTGGCCATCTGTGCTTTTAACAGCTAGTAAACAGTTATTTTTCCGCTCTAACCAGAGAATATGGATCATTTGCTTAGAAAAGGTCCTTGTGCCTGGGGATGTGGCTCAGTGGTGAAGTACCTACTCTGGGTTCAATTTCTATCACCACAAAAATAAGTCAATAGCCAGGCCTGGTGGCATACGCCTTTAATGCCAGCACTTGGGAGGCAAAGGCAGCGATATCTCTGTGAGTTCCAGGATAGCAAGGGTTACACAGAGAAACCCGGTCTTTAAAAAAATAAACAAAATAAATGAGTTAATTAAAAAATAAATGAATAAATAACAATGCTCTTGGAATTGAGAAGGCAGAACAGTTAAGTCTGTTACAATCAGACATGGGAAGATGGAGAAAGGCTGTGTTAAAGAAACAGATCCAAGCAGGTGACTGGCTTCCTCTGCTGGCTTCTGGATATCCCAAGTACAGGACCCAGAGGGGATAGGACAGATTTGGCTTCCTCTGTCTCCGATCTAGGCAATGCCCAGGTTTCTTTTTCCCTTCAATCCCCAAATCTCAGCTCACTGTTCATGGTTGCTTAGGCTACAGGAGACAGGGATGGGAGAGCTCTGTATCTGATCTGGGCCATGCCTACGCAGGCTCTGATTACAGCCAGACTTGAGTTGTTAGTAGCCCCTATGGGGCTAGTGTGGGCACAAGCTGCCTAGCACCCCAGGCCAGAGGAGCAGGGTCTGATTCTATTATCTAAGCTCATTTCTATCTCCAAGTAACAACATGACCCAAGTGAAGAGGATGACCCATTGGCTTAGCTGCTGTGGGGTCCAAACTAAAGCGGACAATCCAATGAAAGGCTATGACTGGGCGGGGCAGTGGGAGGGATGGCTCTGTGACCCAGTAGCTACTGCTTGTTTTCCCCCAGCCCATGGTCCCACTAGTGCTCACAGGACAAAGCTGTTTTCGGCGAGGAGGAAGATGGCCAGATCTTGGTCCTACCCACCTCTAAGGAAGCAAGCAGCATGTTCAGAGATGAGATACAGGGGCCAGATAACCACCCCCCCCCCCACCAGTTCTGGCTGCTATCCGTGTCTACCAGGAACCATACCCTCATGAGAGGCCACATAGCCAACACAGCTACAGTCAAGTCCTAAGACAGGCCATGCTGTGTGTACCAGATGAAGACTTACCATGTGCTGCCTGGGCGTGACTGGGCATCAGGTGATCCCTATCTCAGTCACTTGGTGCTAAGTGTCCCCAAGAGTTCCAACCTCCCTGATCCTGGAACCCACTTCAGATACTCCAGAAAAGTGGCTAGAAGGAGAGTGGCTTTGGGACAACTATTCCCCTTGGCATGTGCCACCCTGGCCTGGCACTAGGGATTAGGCCAGACAGCCTCTTATTTTAGGTTAAGGCGCATAAGAAGGGATGAGAGGCTAAGCCCAGGCAGGGACCTTCCAGACACTAACACTTCCTTCCAGTTCTGGAGCAGAGTAAGCATGAAGGTGTGAAGCAAGGGGTGGGTGGAGATGGCTTGGGTTTTCTACTAGGGCTAGAAACTGGCCTTCACCCTTGCTCCTCAAGGACAGTCAGGGGTCTCCCTGACCATGCTGCCCCTGCTGGAGAAGGGCTTCATACCTGTTCTGCTTCCATGTAACAATACCTAATGCCATGGGAGGTGCAGGGAGGTCTGTATCTGTCTAAACCCACACCCAGGTGCAGCATCTGCAACAGAGGTCCCTGGGAAGCACTTGCCAAGACACCCAGTGTAGGCATGGAGCAGAGGAACCCAGTGTTTACCCATCGTCCAGGTGACTTAAATGGGGACTGCATGGGTGGGTGGGTGGGGGGCTAAGGCTGGGCCAGATCCTGGCTCTCCTGCCAACTCACAGGGGCCTTTCAGAGAATGGAACCAGACAGGGTTGCTTGCAGTGAGTGACTGGCAGAAGCAGGTGCTGTTGGAGATGAGAAGGGAGCCAAGGTTTTCCTGACCTCATCTAAAAACTGGCTGCTCACAAGGGAGCTGAGCCATTACCCACTGCTGCCAAGGGCTACTATGCAGACCAAGTGAGACACTCACCATTACTGTGATTTCCTGTCTGGAGGGAAGCCGAGGGCTGCAGGTTGCTGCTCAAGGACCCATAACCACGGTAGCTGTAGTTGAGGCCACCATTGACGTACACAGGGTCCTGGGAGTAGGCAGAGGCTGGCAGTGAGTAGGTGGAATGGGCGATGGCTGTGGAGTCCCGAGAGTGCTGCTTATCCAGGGCTATAGGTTCGTCCTGCAGAAGAGGGAGGGCAGAGCTGGGAACCCGAGGAACAGCGAGCCCAGTCATTGTCCCTGACGCGGGGTGGGGGTGGGGGGCGCAAAGGCCACAGTCCTTTTGTTGCTAGGACCCAGTGATGTGACTTGACCTAGGGGATGCTGTTGATTCTGTCTCCTTGGGCCCCTTACCCCAGCAATCTCCCCTGACTACATCTCACCTCTCTGCGACATGTGTGACTGTCATTGCCTAGTGCACTTGCCTAGAACCTGTGACCTCTTTCAGTCTTTTGAGTACTGGGGCTACAGGGATACACCTCCACATCCAGTCGCCCTCCTCCTGACGGTCTGGCAACTCAGTGACTAACTCCTCCAGCCTCTCTGCCCTCCCAGCTCACTGCACAGCCCAGCTACAGGTGTGTGTGGAATGACCAGTGGCCTCTGCCCCTTGGGTGCAACCCCTTGGAGCAGGCAGCATGAATACATACTTGTGAGGACTGGTAGATCTCCAGGCGCATCCTTTTAGCTGCTTTTCTTGTCTCACTCTCACAGGCAGCTGCTAGGATGTTTTCTGCCATGGCTGAGGTCAGGTGGGGAGGAGTGGGTCTGGTCTGCAGGCAGAAGGGACACAGAGCTGGTGTGTGGGCTGGAAGGGCCCTGGCCAGGGTCAGGGTATGGCAAAGCAGGTGTTTGGGCTCCAGCCCCTGAGTAACAGCCTGTTTTCCTCATGTGTGAAATAGGCCTACTGAGAAGTTGGGATAAGGGGCCTGGAGGACAATGATGGTGCCACAAGGCAGGGTCGCCAGGAGGAGGCGCTCACCATCTCCATGCCATTCTTCTTCATGCGACGACAGGACTTGAGGTATGTGCGGATGCGCTTGCGGGCTCGCTCCTGGAACTCGGGGAACTGCCGGCTGCATGACTCAATGATGGCCTGGATCTTCTCCTTGGGCTGCTTGGAGATGGGCACCATGCGGTCCAGGTTCTCATCCACAAACAGCCGCACAAACATCTAGGGAGACACAGGCCATGGGAGGGGCTGGCCTTGCCTTAGACCTGTCCCTGTCTCACCGCCCTGCACAGTACTCACATTGAAGGCCTTGAGTCGCTCAGGGTCCATGCCCTCTGAGTCATTCATCTTGTCATTGTCCTCATGGTCATCATGATCATCGTCGTCGTCATCTGCTGCGGGGGCCCGGCCCACTGTCAGGTCCTCAGGACAGCCACTGACTTCTGTCTTGATGGAGTCATAGCTCCCAGAGCTGTAGGGGGGAGACTAAAAGAGGGCAAGAGACAGACAAATCAGGTGGTCTGCCATGGTTAAGTTTGGGGACCAGGTCAGTGAGCTCATCCAGCTGAAGTCTTAGCCACAAGCTCCTCAGCAAGTTAACCCTACCTCCCACTGTGAAACCAGAGAAACAGTTCTGCCCCCAGTGTCCACGGGCTCCTGCCAGGAGGCCTTTCCTCTTGGAGGCAATGGGTAAAGTGTAGTAGCAACTTGTTTGGTTACAGTATCCACATCAGGACCTGCCATGTTAAGGGAAGGACACAAGAGATGATTGCCATCAGGCAGCCTCTTCTATGTGCCGGCTTTCAGGGTTCCTCCTGGATCCCCAGGGGACTGCAACCTTGAGTTGACAAGTGAGCTGTCACCAGAGCAGCAACTGTGCTGTCTATCAGGAGGAACAGATGGGCTGGGATAGAGAGCCAGCCAAGGCAGGGCCACGAAACAGGAAGCAGTTCCCAGCTCCCAGGCTAGGCTGTTTCTGCCTATCTCCTACGAGATTACTATGAGGCTGAGGAAAGTAGGTATTCAAGAGAAAGACCAGATGGGCCTGGCCTGCCTGGTATAGCCCTGACCTTGAATGGGGAAGGCTTAAGCAGTCTGTTCCCACCCACATTCTTACTACCACCTTAGTGTCCACTCCAGCACAGGTCACATCACGGGAAGGGCATAAAAAGGGTTCCCGTGAGCCAGCCCATTCTGTGTGCTGGGATTTATCTAGGCTTCTGGGATTCCTCAGCCTGTACTGACTGCCTGTTTCTCCTTGGACTGTGGCTTCTGCTTTCTCCTGCTTCCCAGCTACTACCTTGCCCCTCATGACCTAGCTCCACAATATTCCACGGGTCCCTGGCTCTGAGGCTGCTGCCATTTACTGTCTAAAGTTTTATCTGTGGCATGCACTGGCCTTGTCATCTTTTCCCTGAAGGACACTGGCGTGTAGTGGGTAAGTTGGGCCCAGGACAACACACAGTTGCAGTCAGGCACTGTGGTGTGGCCATAGCCTGGCCTACAAGGACCTAGTGCTCTCAGACCCCTCTCACTATGAGCACACAAAGACTTAAGGGGCAGAACTCCAGCCCTCCAGAACAATAGTGTGGGGTCAAAACACATGCAGGACACAGGGCTGGCTACCAGCTCCCTCTGGCGCCATGGACATATCAGATCTGCAAGTGATTCTTTAGCTGAATCCTCTGCCAGGGCCAAAGCAAATGAGAAAACTGTAAGGAGTCCTCAGTGCCCACCCTTGCACCACATGGCCATGGTAGTAGTGGCTGAAGGGCTCTGCTAAGCCAATCTTCTTTCCACCATCGACGAGCTGCTCTATCTGGTCCCTGAACCTACTTCCACTCTGATCCCCATGGGCTGTGCTACATGTGGTACCAACTCCATTCTGTCGCTTTAGATCGTGTCCTGGGATTGTGTCCCACCCCTCTGCAAGAGACAGGCCAGGACAGAAGAGTCTGTTGGAGTAGGCAGGTGGGTTCAGGGTGGGTAGCAGAGTTTAAGAGGTTCTCTTAGAGAACTGGCACCTACTGTCACAAAACCTTAATGGCTGGCCCAGGACAGTGTGTGGATTATGGGCCGTGTGTGTGTGTGTGTGTGTGTGTGTGTGTGTGTGTGTGTGTGTGTGTGTGTGTGTGTGTGTGTGTGTGTGTATGTATGTATGTAGTCAAAGGACAGCCGGAATTGGTTCCTTCCTCCCACCTTTATGCAGGCTCAGAGGATCAAACTCAGGCCACCTTTAAAAACTGAACTTTTCATAAGTTTTTGTTTTCCTCTGAGGTCTCTCTCACATGTAGCTCAGACTGTCGTATATCTCACTTTGTAGCCTAGGTTGGCTTCAGACTGCAGGGCCCCTCCTGCTTCAGGCAGATTCTGAGTGCTGGAGTTACAGGCATGACTGCCATGCTCAGCCATGTTTTCTAATTCTGTGCCAAATGTGCCACTTGCTCCTATCCTTTACAGCAGACTCTGTTCCCAGGAAGGGAATGAGCCTTGGGGACACACATCACCTGCCATCTCCTCACCAAGGCAGGAGCCATCACTTCTCAGAGAAGTTAGACCTATTTGGGGCACCCTCAGCCATCTGTCATTCTAGTGTCTCGTGAAGAAACCATGGTAAAGTGGCCATAACCACTACCCTGGCTTGATGTCACACATGGGCCGGTTCAGTTCTAACTGCACTCCAGCCTCCCAACAACTCAGAGACACACAGCCTTCAGCCCCACACACCTCAGGAGTGCTCTTCACCCCATACTTGACGCGGCTCCGAAGCCCATCAGTGCTGCAGCCGTCTGAGGGGTAGGACGGTGTACCCAGTGCTGTGCCTGGAGGGAGCTTGTCACACAAGTTGATCGGCTGGTCCTCAGCGGTGGCAGTGAAGTCCATGGGGGCTGCAGCACCATTGCCATTCATCTCAGGGAAGGCAGGGTCACCCTGGGTGCTGCTCGAAGTGGATGGATTCAGGGTAGAGGAGCCATTGCCGCTGCCGCTCTCAGAGGAGGAGTCATCTGGAATGAGAGCCCTGGGCATGAGGCAGTGTCCCTGCACCCACTGTCTCCAGAGGCCCCGCTGGGTGTGGTGGCCTCAGAGTCCCTGTGCTGTTACCCTTGCAGGACACTTGTGCCCTGTTCTCCATCCCACATTCTCTAGGATGTGAACTGAGCCTCAGGCTTACCACCTGTGCTGAGGCAAGACCAGAGAGTGGGGCCACTAGGAGCTAAGTGGCTGTGACCGGCATATGCAGAGTGGAGAGTTTTCTCTTCACCTCCAAACCTACCAATGCCAGAGACAAGCTCCAGGGAGGGAGGCTCCACTTCAGGAGACCCGCCACAGGTCCTTAGACACCTCCAGAGTCGCAGGAGTGCTCAGAGCTGCTCTCCATCACACCTTCATGCCCCTCAGTACAGGGGGCCTTGAATTTCTCCTTCCTCCAGCTCCACTGGAGGAAGCCAATGTCCCTATTCATCCGTGCCTTCCTGTATGGTCTAGTTAGATCTGCAGCCTCTGCCCTCTGTACCTGGCCAAGTGACCTCAGACAACACAAAGCCAACTGCTGAGTCTGAGGGCTGTATCTCCTCTGTTTCCAGCCGGTCTTCCTGCTTTCTTGAGGCGGGAGCCCCCTGCTGTGGAGAGTGCAGCATTGCAGGATCCAGAGGATAAACTTGAACTTCAAGGGAATAGACATTTCTAGATAAATTCCAGGTTTCTCTTCCCACAGGCCCCAGCCTCCTGCTTCACAGCAGCTACTCTCAACCTCCTGGAGTCACTGACAGGTGAGCACCCATGTGGGTGCCAATGGTGCTTAAGTACACTGGAGGCTTGGCAGCTAAACCCAAAAGGGGAGGGGTGGCAAAGGGAGCCCTGACCATAACCCCAGGCCAGGGTCGAGATGGACCCTACCCCCACCCCCACCGCCAACAGATTATGAAGATTTAGTCCTTAGTGTTGAGCACTGGGCACAAGCGCAGCCTGAGTGTCCCCATGGCGACTGAGCAGCTCTAGTGCCCCAGCCAATCACTAGCCTCTCAGCTGCCTGAGGGCGTGGCCAGTCTGCCCATCAAGCAGTCAGGACCCTGAGTAGCGGGGGATGGGCTGAGTGTGGTGCAATGATATTCCTCCCCCTCAGCTGCAGCAGGTCATCTGGGCCAGGCGACACTGCCCAGGCAACCTTTAGGAAGCACTGCCCCATCCTCCTTTTATCCTGTGAGCTTGATCCCAAGCCCCTGGGCCTATCTCTGGGACCTCACTGCCTAAGCCCTCTGTCCTCACAAATGGGCTGAGAGATTCTGTGTCTTCTCTCTGGCAGTATTTGCAGCAACTAGTGTAGAAGGATGCAGAGGAAAACAAATTACCTGGCAGCAGTAACTAAGCACCTATTGTGTGCTGGCCCTATCCCAAATGCAGGAGCAGTGATGACTACTACTACCAGGGCGATGGCATCTTGAAGTTTACCAGGAACTGGAAAATTGAGATGTGGTGGATGCCACCTACTCAGCTCCTGCCAAAACCCACCCCTGCGCCATATCTGCCATCCGAAGCACCTTTCACAGCTCAGGGCTTCTTCCCTCTGTCATTGTCAGCCCCTTCCTGGAGGTCACTGCCCATGCTCCAGCCTCATGACCTTGCAGCCTACCCTGCCAGCTTCTGCCCTAACCTTTAGCACCCAGCGCTCCAGGCCTGGGTTCGGGCTTTGTACGTCCTGCTCCTTCCAGTTGGGCCCATGTCAGCAGGCTTTCGCGGCCTGACTCTCTGCTCTATCTGCTACCTCTGGGCACCTGGGAAGGAGGTACTCGCTACAGTCCTAAGTGCCACCAATACAACCATCGTAGAACCTGACACCTGAGAGGCTCAGGTATCTGAGGTCTGGGGAACAACATCTCTCTATTCTTAACCACTTCCAAGTTATAACACTACCTACCACAGGCCACTTGCTCAACCTAGAAGGGCACTAGATTCCCTCCTCTGGAGGGATAAGCTGCTCATGCCAACAGTCACTGTATTCACCACAGGCACCGGGCTTGGGGCCAGCTATATTGCCACACCCTCATGGGGACAGAGGTGGACTCCTTGTCTGCATGCTTTGAGCAAGCAGTATGTCTGTGGCTCTGGACCTGTCCCAGGACACACAGGGCAATCCTAGGACTCGGACCCTGGATCAAAATTGACTGTGATGAGAAGCTGCCACCACTTGTCACCTGGGCTGCAGGCCTAGGCTCAAGCTGCCTGACTTTCTAAAGAGAGTAGGCGCTGGCCCCAATGAGGGCACCCGTCTCTGTTTTCAAAGGCCATCCCCAGATGGCAAGGAAAGTGATTGGATAGATGAGCCGCACCTGCAAACCTACAGAAGAAACAAACTGGAAACTCATACTATTATGTAAATATCCAGATTGACTCGTATACACTATTAGCACCTTGAAAAGCCACTAGAAGTGAACAGGCAAAGTGTGACCTAGCCATACAATCGAAGACTCAGCCCCAAAAAGGAACACAATCGAGATATATGCTGCAACATGGAGGACCCGTAAGGTCATTGTTCTGTGTGAAATAAGACAGACACGGAAGGGTAAATGGTGAATGATTCCACTTAACTGTGCAGGCTACAATGCAGGCGTCCGCTGAGGCAGAAAGTGAAGTGAGGCTCCCCCAAGCCTGAGGAGGAGAAAGAGCTAATGCTTAGCGAATGCAGAGCTTCTGCCTGGCATGATGAAAAGTTTGGGAAATAATAATGCCGACTGTGTTTTGAAGTACTGAAGTATAGAAGCCCAGAGATTTCACATTTATTTTACCACCAGAAACACACACACACAAAAAAAAAACCAATATAACAGCAAAAAAAAAAAAAAAAAAAAAAAAAAAAAAACTTTGAGCAAGCCAAAGCTACAATGTCCCTTACCCATGCTACACCTGGACAGGACACATCTGAGAGGGAAACAATTGCAAATTCCCACAAGTGTTGCCCAATGTAGAGGTCCTGCCTAGTGGGCTAGCTTTTTTTTTTAAAAAAAAACACAGCCTGGTTCAGCACTACCTAACTGGAGGCACATTGTTTTCCAACTGGGGTGGCTGGTGAGTGTTAGCATAATACAAAGGAGCTGAGAAGAGGATGGATAACACCTATGTGATGGACCTCAAAGAGGCTGCCTCTCCTTGTACCTCAATGTCTCTCCAAATGGCTCTTGAATCAGTAAAATGGCATTTATGATGTTATCAACTCTCCCTCGCATGGAACAGGCTGCCTTTTACCCAAAACCTTAATTCATTCTCACCTGCTTCCCTACGTCCCTATACCCAGACTGCAGCACGTGCATGTGTGGCCCCAAACAGTGCCATATCAGAGGAGGGTAAAGGGTCTATGAGGTGAGCACCAAACTTAGGGGCTGGGAATCAAGAGCCAGGACAGGGTCTCTGGTCCACACCCTACACTGCCCTTCCTTCTGAGCTGCCTTGAGCATCACCACCTCGGGGAGCCTCAGAGCCATCCATCTCATCCCCAAACAAGCTCTGACTGCTCTTGCGCAGAATCCATTCCAAGGAAGGTGGCCCTACAGCCACACTGTCCATCAGCCCCTCCACTTTCTCCTAGTGGGCCACAGGGCCTCCCGCCATGCCCTCCACTTGCCACCTGGCTGTGGTGTAGGCCTTTGTACTTCTGTTCCCACACTGCCACACTGTCCCTGGCTCTCCAGAGTTTGTTCTTCCCTTGCTGTTCTTCACTTCCAGGGCTTTGCTTAAAGGTCTCTATGTCAGGGAACCTTCACCTACCCAGCCCCCACACTGACATGCTAACCCCTTTACCTATTTTTCCACCACACTTAATCTCCTCCTTGCCATACTCTTCACTTGCTGTGTCTGCAGCCTGCAGTAAGTTGCCCCTGGGCCTTGGCAGAACTTCATTGAGTGGGCCTGGATCACTCCTGCTTCCATGCAAGCCACACCCCTTCTTCTGCAGGACACCTGGGTCTTCTTCTAAGGTTCCTCAGGGTTAGCATGAACGTACCCCAGGCCTAGCCAGGCAACATGACCCATCACAACCACTGGTAAAAAGTCCTATGACTGAGCTGGACCTACCAAAGTCAGACCTGAGTTTTTTCTACCTGGGGAAGTTCAGAGACAGAGTAACACAACCTTTCCAAAATCCGCCTATGCCTTAAACCAAAGGCAAGCCTGGATTATTTGCTTATGAGAGTAACAACTTCCTTGTTGTCAAAGCTAGCTGGAGGCCGCTTTGCATCACATGGTCTGCTTTGGTCTCTGAGTAACATGGGGGTTAGGGCTGGACTTGCTGCTTCCCATCTATCCTGAGGCTGCTGACACTGAACCAGGGCTGCTACAACCTCGCCTCCCAGACTATAGGGTTCAGGGAAAGGGGTCAGAGATCCAGTAGCCGGGGTCTGATCCATGGCAAATTCTTCCTTGCTCTCCAAGAAACATGACTTAATGTTTGGCATATGGTGGGTTGGGCCAGTGGTTTCGGCTGGCCTCACTTTCAGCCTGACCTTGGGCACAGCCACCTCCTGGGCTCCTCTTATCTGCAACCCAGGGAGTTGCGGCTGACGCCCTCTTGGGCTCCAGTGTTTTATGACTCCATGAAATAACCAGCTGGCCCCACAGCACTAAGGGCCCAGTGCCCTGGCCCTTGTGACTCGAGGCCTCTCCTGTGAGGTAGTCTTTAGGACCCACTCTGACCTGGGACTAGAGGTGGAAACACAAGGGGTTCAGGTGACCCCTCTCATCCCCACCTGGTCCTCATCCTGAGGTTGTGCCAAGAACACTGGCAGGGCACAGCTGGCCCCACCTGAGACTGCGAACAGTCTTGAGAGGTGCCCGGAGGCTTTGGGAAAGCAGCAGGAATGTATCCCTTCTGTCCATTCCCACAAAAATGGTCCTCCACAGCTTAGCAAAGGGAGGACCCAGAGCCCACCACCTGTGCCTGGAGAGCCCTAGGGCAGGGGAGGCCTGCCATGCCCGTCTACTGTAACGGGGTGATGTGCTGCTATTCAAATGGGAG